CAACGGTGAGAGGCCCGTATACCGCAAAAAAAAAAAAAAAAAAAAAAGAAAGAGAAACAGAAAGATGAATGAATATAGGAAGTTTTACAGGTTGGGGAGTGGGGTGATGTTGTGGGACACAGAGAGAGAATCTTATCTAATGTGGTCAGGCTGGCTAAGACTGAATGGATTTACTGTAAGTTTTATAATGTCAATATTGTTTTAATATCAATAATGTATTGATGCAAAATTAGAGTTTGGTTTTCTCTCCCTTAAAAAGACAAAGTTTTGGGGCTTCCCTGGTGGCGCAGTGGTTGAGAGTCCGCCTGCCGATGCAGGGGACACGGGTTAGTGCCCCGGTCCGGGAAGATCCCACATGCCGCGGAGCGGCTGGGCCCGTGAGCCATGGCCGCTGAGCCTGCGCGTCCGGAGCCTGTGCTCCACAACGGGAGAGGCCACAGCAGTGAGAGGCCCGCGTACCGCAAAAAAAAAAAAAGAAAAGACAGAATTTCTTGGATTACTGGTCTGTTCTTAATAAGAGATTGTAAAAAGGTTCTCTTTACCTTTTCAGTCATCTACTTAGGAAGCGAAGGTTCTGTGTCTTATTGGAATAATTTCCAGTACTTTAACCATGTTTTTGATTATTTAAGAAGACCAAGTCTTTTTTCTTAAATAAAAACTGATCTGTGATCCTGTTTAATCAGGTGTTCAAACCTGCTGACGTTTTGGACAGCTTCCCAAAATCAAATTCTAAATGAAGTCTTTTTGACCTGGAACTGACTTTGAGACTTTCCACGGGGTCCCTGGAAAATCTCAAAGGGTTTGTCCTCTCACCTTGTGAAAAGGGAGATGTTTAACTAATTAAGTTGATGTCATAATAAGTTAAGTTGCACGGAAGCACTGTCAAATGGGAAGAGGTGCTTAACCTTCCCTAGGTTATACTGGTATGCCTAAATGTTATTGATATAAGTACTTCAGAAATTCTATGAAGTTCCTAGAAATTTGTCAATGCCCTCATTGTCTATGATATGTCCTGATAGAATGTTATCAGTCATAATTTCAGTTATTATCCTAAGAGAATATATGTCACAGAAACAACCAAATTTGTCAACTGCATTATTTTTTATAATGAATTCTCATCAAACTTTAACAGTGGCCGTTTTAAGTTTTCTGTCATTCACAGATAGTTATTCTGTTATTCTGATGCTTTCCTAAAAGCTCTTGCAATCAGCTACAAGCCGGAATACTTTGTCTTCAACAAAAGGGATGTCTCAGAGAACCACAGAAAGATCTATGACCTAAGGTACTCTGGGGTACAGGCTTCTCATGGCATTGCTTAAATAAATTTGAGATCACACCACTAAGGATATCCAGAATTCTAGTGGTGAAGCTGATGACTTCACAAAACTGCTAAGCCAGTTTCAAGCGGGACAAGAATTATTATGTGAGACTGAATGAGCAAGTGAAAAATGATTATAATTTTTATGGATTTTTTTGTTTATTTGTTTGGAATATTGCTTGTTCTTAGATGTTTTGTTTTTCTGGATATAAGGAACCCCTTTTCTGTTTTCTCCTAAGCTATCTATAACTCACAACAATTAAGAAGATTATATCTTTGCAAACTGAAAAGAAACATTTATCTTTTTTTCCCTAACTGATCCCTCCAGAATTCAGAAACTCTTACTGAATGTTTTTACTCTCATTGCAATATAGTTGCTTGCATAAGTTCAGTAAGAATCTGTTCTCTTTGTAACAGGACATAATTGAGAAAATTGGGTATATCACCAAGGCTTTAACTGGAATGTCATATTTGAGATTCATGTACACAGAATCATCTATGACCAAACAGTTTTCAGGAATTAAGATTGCTTTATGAAGCCAATGTTTACAAAACCGTTCTGGAAAAACTGTCCTGGTACCTGGCTTACAGACTTCCCGGCCTTTATAGGTGAGTAGGGAAAGTCACTTTCTGGCAGGCCCAGGAACTTTAGGATATTTTGGGAAACTCAAGAAGAAAGGAAATCACCAAATCTATAAATACTGCAGATGAAGTCTAATAAGTTCATGGCTTGGCTTGCAAGCATCAAGAGGCATTTAAAAGTCCAATCTGAGATTCCTTATAAAAGTTCCAGCCAAGCAAACTTTAAAAGGCCTATATAGTCCAATTACCAATCTTGCTGCACTTATGTAAATGATCTGGCCAAATTTAATGAGAAAAGACATTTTGTAAACAAGAGGAATCTTACTTTGATAATCTTTGCTCAAAATGGGGGTGATTGTAGGGGCTTCCATGGTGGCACAGTGGTTAAGAATGCCTGCCAATGCAGGGGACACGGGTTCGAGCCCTGGTCCGGGAAGATCCCACGTGCTGCGGAGCAACTAAGCCCGTGCGCCACAACTACTGAGCCTGTGCTCTAGAGCCTGTGATCCACAACTGCTGAGCCCACGTGCCACAACTACTGAAGCCCGTGTGCCTGGAGCCCGTGCTCTGCAGCAAAAGAAGCCACCAGAATGAGAAGCCCGCGCACCGCAACGAAGAGTAGCCCCCGCTCACCGCAACTAGAGAAAGCCGCGCACGGGAACGAAGACCCAACGCAGCCAAAAATAAATAAATAAAATAAATTTTTTTTTAATGGGGATGATTGTAGAAAGAAATTGTATGTTTCAGTGGAAAATAATAACCTACCCTTGTATGTTACCAGATTTGAGTCCCGTTCATTGTCTTAAAGCTACCTTTTCATCTCTGTGAATTCTACCTGCCATCTTACACGTTTTGTTGGTAATTAAATTTTTCTCTCACTCTCTTGACTTGGCATCACTGAGAACTAAAGCTGCCTTTTTCCTAAAGCCCTGCGAGCTGAAGCTGAAGTGCTATAACTTCAAAGGATTTATCACCACAACAGTATGGACCACTCAGAAAATTCACTGGAACACCTGCATCTTCCATGCTCTGCTCCGGGAAATAGCCATGGCTATAACACTGCCACTACCATCCTCACTAAAGGTGCTTCAAAATCCAACGTCTAGAAATCTTCTTGATTGGCTGCCTTGTGGACTCAGAAACTGCTCCAACCATTCATCTTTGTTTTCTTCTCCCTTTGTGTATCTCTTTCCCTGCAACTTCTAATCCAAATCTCTTCCCATAGCCATCAACCTAGCCTCTTTTTTTTTGTTTTTAAACTTCTAGGGATGTTTCCGGTGAGGGAAATGTGGGGAACCGCTCAGAGCCCCCAGAGTTGATTTTAAAGTAAAAACATTTGAGCTAAAGAAGATACAGGAAGAAATCTTATCTCAAGTCCCTTTATCTGACACAAACATAGCTTTCAGAATATACAGCTGCCATTAACCTCCTTCCCTCCCCCCAACCATGGGTGTTTCCAATGTATTTAGGTGCCTGTATGGAGGCAGACTGCCCATAGCCATTAGCATCAAGAAGTCCCACAGAACCTTCCCTATCTTCCTGCTGAAGCCCTAACTACCACCATCACCACCCCTTTGTTAATTTGGCATATAAAGTTTTTATCCCAGTCTGTTGAGCGAGTTACCTATTACTGAGTAGTTCTGTTGTGTAGCCTTAAGTAAACCTCATCTCTTTTCCTGTTAACCTATCCCTCGTCAGTTAATTTACAGGCCACCAACTACTGGACCCAAGTTGGAAGAAGAAAAGTTTCCCCCCAGCAGCCTCCTCCCTGCTGACTGCAATGGCTTGGTCCGTGATGAAAGCAGCATTCATTGCCATGACTACGAAATTATCTATTCCTATGCATATGTGTGCATATGGGCATGTGTATATTTACAGCGTTGGCAGCTCAGCAGGTTGTGACTAAACGTCCTTAGGAATTTCCTTGGTGAGTCAAAGCTTATTGAAGTAGAAGCACTTCCCAGAAGATCAGAAATCTATCTTCAAACCAAGCTCATTCCCCTGCTTGTTGCATCATCAAGCCAGGCAGCTTAAAATAAATCATCTATTAAAAGTGAACCAATTACCAAACTCACCTTCCAACACTTCCAACACTAGTTTTGGGAAACGGACTGGAA